TCCGACTGAAGATACCCGTGAAGGTCCCGGGTTAGAATTGGTCTTCATTAACCCATGCTTGTCGTAAAAGGCGACTTATGAAGATTGTAAGATGTTGTAAGAGGCTAATTAACGGATCCGGGAGGTCAGGCTGTCGCTGACTTGGTTGAGGACTACATGACCGCATCGGTTCCCAATTGCGCAGATCGATGCATGTTGTGTCTGAGTCACTGTTGTCTGGTTCAGACTCCTCGATTATTTACAGATCTGCCGCCATATAGCAAGGAAATATTGCTGAGTAGCATGGCGTAAGTCTGAGTCAATGTTCACTCAACTCACTCCAACTGAAGATAGCATGTTGTAAGTCTGAGTCAATGTTCTGGCAAGGAAACAGGTCCGACTGAAGATAGCATGTTGTAAGTCTGAGTCAATGTTCTGGCAAGGAAACAGGTCCAACTGTAAGTCTGAGAAGAAAGATAGCATGTTGTAAGTCTGAGTCAATGTTCTGGCAAGGAAACAGGTCCGACTGAAGATAGCATGTTGTAAGTCTGAGTCAATGTTCTGGCAAGGAAACAGGTCCGACTGAAGATAGCATGTTGTAAGTCTGAGTCAATGTTCTGGCAAGGAAACAGGTCCGACTGAAGATAGCATGTTGTAAGTCTGAGTCAATGTTCTAAGTCTGAGTCAATGTTCTGGGAAACAGGTCCGACTGAAGATAGCATGTTGTAAGTCTGAGTCAATGTTCTGGCAAGGGAAACAGGTCCAACTGAAGATAGCATGTTGTAAGTCTGAGTCAATGTTCTGGCAAGGAAACAGGTCCAACTGAAGAGAGCATGTTGTAAGTCTGAGTCAATGTTCTGGCAAGGAAACAGGTCCAACTGAAGATAGCATGTTGTAAGTCTGAGTCAATGTTCTGGCAAGGAAACAGGTCCGACTGAAGATAGCATGTTGTAAGTCTGAGTCAATGTTCTGGCAAGGAAAAAGGTCCGACTGAAGATAGCATGTTGTAAGTCTGAGTCAATGTTCTGAAGATAGCATGGTAAGTCTGAGTCAATGGGGAAACAGGTCCAACTGAAGATAGCATGTTGTAAGTCTGAGTCAATGTTCTGGCAAGGGAAACAGGTCCAACTGAAGATAGCATGTTGTAAGTCTGAGTCAATGTTCTGGCAAGGAAACAGGTCCGACTGAAGATAGCATGTTGTAAGTCTGAGTCAATGTTCTGGCAAGGAAACAGGTCCGACTGAAGATAGCATGTTGTAAGTCTGAGTCAATGTTCTGGCAAGGAAACAGGTCCAACTGAAGATAGCATGTTGTAAGTCTGAGTCAATGTTCTGGCAAGGAAAAAGGTCCGACTGAAGATAGCATGTTGTAAGTCTGAGTCAATGTTCTGGCAAGGAAACAGGTCCAACTGAAGATAGCATGTTGTAAGTCTGAGTCAATGTTCTGGCAAGGAAACAGGTCCAACTGAAGATAGCATGTTGTAAGTCTGAGTCAATGTTCTGGCAAGGAAACAGGTCCGACTGAAGATAGCATATAGCATGTTGTAAGTCTGAGTCAATGTTCTGGCAAGGAAACAGGTCCGACTGAAGATAGCATGTTGTAAGTCTGAGTCAATGTTCTGGCAAGGAAAAAGGTCCGACTGAAGATAGCATGTTGTAAGTCTGAGTCAATGTTCTGGCAAGGAAACAGGTCCGACTGAAGATAGCATGTTGTAAGTCTGAGTCAATGTTGTGGCAAGGAAACAGGTCCGACTGAAGAGAGCATGTTGTAAGTCTGAGTCAATGTTCTGGCAAGGAAACAGGTCCGACTGAAGATAGCATGTTGTAAGTCTGAGTCAATGTTGTGGCAAGGAAACAGGTCGACTGAAGATGAAGATAGCATGTTGTAAGTCTGAGTCAATGTTCTGGCAAGGAAACAGGTCCGACTGAAGATAGCATGTTGTAAGTCTGAGTCAATGTTCTGGCAAGGAAACAGGTCCGACTGAAGATAGCATGTTGTAAGTCAGTCAATGTTCTGGCAAGGAAACAGGTCCGACTGAAGATAGCATGTTGTAAGTCTGAGTCAATGTTCTGGCAAGGAAACAGGTCCGACTGAAGATAGCATGTTGTAAGTCTGAGTCAATGTTCTGGCAAGGAAACAGGTCCGACTGAAGATAGCATGTTGTAAGTCTGAGTCAATGTTCTGGAAAGGAAACAGGTCCGACTGAAGATAGCATGTTGTAAGTCTGAGTCAATGTTCTGGCAAGGAAACAGGTCCGACTGAAAGATAGCATGTTGTAAGTCTGAGTCAATGTTCTGGCAAGGAAACACGTCCGACTGAAGAGAGCATGTTGTAAGTCTGAGTCAATGTTCTGGCAAGGAAACAGGTCCGACTGAAGATAGCATGTTGTAAGTCTGAGTCAATGTTCTGGCAAGGAAACAGGTCCCGACTGAAGATAGCATGTTGTAAGTCTGAGTCAATGTTCGGGCAAGGAAAAAGGTCTGACTGAAGATAGCATGTTGTAAGTCTGAGTCAATGTTCTTGAAAGGAAACAGGTCCAACTGAAGATAGCATGTTGTAAGTCTGAGTCAATGTTCTGGCAAGGAAACAGGTCCGACTGAAGATAGCATGTTGTAAGTCTGAGTCAATGTTCTGGCAAGGAAAAACGTCCACTGAAGAGAGCATGTTGTAAGTCTGAGTGAAAATGTTCTGGCAAGGAAACAGGTCCGACTGAAGATAGCATGTTGTAAGTCTGAGTCAATGTTGTGGCAAGGAAACAGGTCCGACTGAAGATAGCATGTTGTAAGTCTGAGTCAATGTTCTGGCAAGGAAACAGGTCCGACTGAAGATAGCATGTTGTAAGTCTGAGTCAATGTTGTGGCAAGGAAACAGGTCCAACTGAAGAGAGCATGTTGTAAGTCTGAGTCAATGTTCTGGCAAGGAAAAAGGTCTGACTGAAGATAGCATGTTGTAAGTCTGAGTCAATGTTCTGGAAAGGAAACAGGTCCAACTGAAGATAGCATGTTGTAAGTCTGAGTCAATGTTCTGGCAAGGAAACAGGTCCAACTGAAGATAGCATGTTGTAAGTCTGAGTCAATGTTCTGGCAAGGAAACAGGTCCGACTGAAGATAGCATGTTGTAAGTCTGAGTCAATGTTCTGGCAAGGAAACAGGTCCGACTGAAGATAGAAGTTGTAAGTTGTAAGTCTGAGTCAATGTTCTGGTTGTCCATGTTGTGAAAGTCTGGAAAAGGAAACAGGCATGAACATAGTATATTGTAAGTTTGACAAGTCTGAGTCAATGTTCTGGCAAGGCAAAAAAGGTCCGACTGAAGATAGCATGTTGTAAGTCTGAGTCAATGTTCTGGAAAGGAAACAGGTCCAACTGAAGAGAGCATGTTGTAAGTCTGAGTCAATGTTCTGGCAAGGAAACAGGTCCAACTGAAGATAGCATGTTGTAAGTCTGAGTCAATGTTCTGGCAAGGAAAAAGGTCCGACTGAAGAGAGCATGTTGTAAGTCTGAGTCAATGTTCTGGCAAGGAAACAGGTCCAACTGAAGATAGCATGTTGTAAGTCTGAGTCAATGTTCTGGCAAGGAAACAGGTCCAACTGAAGATAGCATGTTGTAAGTCTGAGTCAATGTTCTGGCAAGGAAACAGGTCCGACTGAAGATAGCATGTTGTAAGTCTGAGTCAATGTTCTGGCAAGGAAACAGGTCCGACTGAAGATAGGATGTTGTAAGTCAATGTTGTGGCAAGGAAACAGGGCTCGACTGAAGATAGCATGTTGTAAGTCTGAGTCAATGTTCTGGCAAGGAAACAGGTCCGACTGAAGATAGCATGTTGTAAGTCTGAGTCAATGTTCTGGCAAGGAAACAGGTCCGACTGAAGATAGCATGTTGTAAGTCTGAGTCAATGTTCTGGCAAGGAAACAGGTCCGACTGAAGAGAGCATGTTGTAAGTCTGAGTCAATGTTCTGGCAAGGAAACAGGTCCGACTGAAGATAGCATGTTGTAAGTCTGAGTCAATGTTCTGGCAAGGAAACAGGTCCGACTGAAGATAGCATGTTGTAAGTCTGAGTCAATGTTCGGGCAAGGAGAAAGGTCTGACTGAAGATAGCATGTTGTAAGTCTGAGTCAATGTTCTGGAAAGGAAACAGGTCCAACTGAAGATAGCATGTTGTAAGTCTGAGTCAATGTTCTGGCAAGGAAACAGGTCCAACTGAAGATAGCATGTTGTAAGTCTGAGTCAATGTTCTGGCAAGGAAAAACGTCTGACTAAAGATAGCATGTTGTAAGTCTGAGTCAATGTTCTGGCAAGGATACAGGTCCAACTGAAGATAGCATGTTGTAAGGATCACCATACCAGTACTTGCCCCGGCCAGTCTACCTGTTGTAGGTCTACTACCACTGAGTCTGTTAGAACCACAGAGAAATGCGGGACACGTGCTATAGCCAACATGACATATAGAGATTACAAGGATCTGTCTATCAGATACCGTTTTTCTTAAAATGAGTTGTTTACAGATGTATCTAACAAGCGAAGGTTTATGTTCACTAGTGAGGTGGGACTACTCTTCTTTACCACAGCCTGCTTTTTTCACAAGAACAATACTGCCCTGATCATGTTACTGATGTTAAGGTGTTGGGACTGTAGTTGTTTACACCATGAATGTTCTGAAATTTGCATATTATGTGTCAAAAAGAATATATTCCAGCGAAGAGAATCCAGAAAAAGAGTTTGACTGAATAGGTAAGAAAGAGTAAAAAAAACCAAGAAATCTTGCAGATCAGAAACAGAGAAATACAGTAAACCATATGAAATACCAGGCTAAAGAAAATGTTTGTGCTTATGTAGATTAACTGCAATGGTGAAAATCCAACTATCTTCTATGATGTCAACAATGCAGAATATTTTCAGTTCATAATACTCACGAACAATGACGATAAGATTTGGCAGATTTTCCATTCCGTACATGTCAAATCTTAATTTCACATTTGTATATTTCCCATCTGGTCTGGAACAGGTCAGATCATTGCTCTTACCTCTCGACTGGAGGTCTTGGGTGATGGCAAGGTTGTTTCAAGCACTGTCTGAAGATTTTCCAGGATACTGCAATGAACATTCCTGAAAGGCAAATGAGAAAACTTGGATGCTAGGAGCAGATTATTAGGGAGGTGGGATTACTTTTGATGTAATAGAAAATAATATAGAATACTACATTCTTTGAACAGCAATAGATCCAACAAGAAGCCTGGCAGATCCACAGAATGTACTGTTTTGCATGTGTGTGTTATGTCATCTCATTACACAGTTAACCCTTTACCTTACATCTTCCTTCCTTAGAAAGAGAAAAACAACCAAGTGGCCCAAGCAGCTGCTCTGTTGAGATATCATCACAGAGCACCATGCCTGTATCCAAGTTGCATTTGAAGCAGTCAGTGAACTTGTGGTTGGAAGGTTGTCATAAGTATTTAGTACCAATATCAAATCAGTTTTGTGAATCTCATAAAAAACAGTAAACACACATTAAAAAAATTGTGGAGAGGTACGACTTTGTTCCTCGAATGATCAAAGTCATGTACCCCTAAAACAGAGTTCACTCAAAACAAAGAAACTTCAGCAACTTGGCATATTTTCCCATGTGCATTGATGCATTAATGACAATGCTGGCGCATACTATTCATCCAAAGTTGGAAGAGCTGTTTCTGGTACAGCTGCCTATTCTGCCACTAGCTGCTGAGCCAGTGGAGGCCTGACAGCTCATCCCAAGCATGCTCTGTGGGTGACATGTCGGATGAATATGCAGGCCAGTTCTCAGGCTGAACATTCTGTTGATGTTGGAAGTCACCACACTGCCGTCATGGGACAAACGTTATTGTCCTGGAACCAAGCCCCACCATCACACCTCTGCCTCCCAAAGGTAGACGTTGAGCAACACTGATGTCAGCATATCTCTCTCCTGGTGACATGGGCATAACTATCATTAAACTGGAATTTGACACACGACTGTCACTGTCTCTGCCGAATGACCATGGTTCAAATGGATATGATGTCAGCACCACCCTGGCTAGCACTTCTGTGATGATCAAGTAGGGGTGATTGGACTGCAGGACTTATTCACTGCAAACCTCGGACATATGACAATTCTGAATGGTCTGTCGGATATGCTGGTGCCTTGGCCAGCTTCAAGTTGCTGTCACAAAACGCTGCCTTATAGTCATCCTTATCAGGTGATTCGTCACATGCTGTTGTTGATCCAGGTCTTCCAGAAAAGGGACAGCATTTGTTGTCCTAAACCTCTGCCAAAGTCTTCTGGTAACACTTTGGCTGACATTTAGTCCTTTTGCCACAGTATGTGGCCATCTTTGTTTGTCCATCTTGCAGCAAGCCTGTGGCCCTTCCTCTGTTTTGAATGCTGAGTTGTCATCTTACCATCTTCAGATTTCAAATGATGCTGAAAACAAATTTGCTCAGCCCATGTAAAACATGTGCTCATGGTGTATGAAGTGGCACAGTAATTGTTTTGATGATGATTCTTCGTTTAGTCTGGCTTGGTTTGAGGTTCTAATCATACAGGTTAATTTTACCTCTTCCACTAACACTTGATTGGTGTTTTCCTGAAACTTGTTTCAGAATCCACAGGTTTAGCTCTAATAAAATTTGAAAGTCAAAGGTCCTGCAATTGCTATTCCACGGTAGTTATCCCCAATATCTGAAACGCAGGAAAACCTTGTAATTTTTGTTAGGGTACCTTAAGTAAGGTAGTCTGGGGTTTCTGGGGCATGGACTGTTGGGCCTTCACCTACGTGTTACACGTAGAATTCTAAGAATTATTATCATTGGTGATAATATCCAAAATTCTCATGAATATGTCCCTCTAACACTTGATTGCTGGATTCCACAAAAGGCTTGGCAAGCCCAGAGTACAGCAAATCCAAGTAAGGAAGACAACTATAAAACATATAGAGTGTGAGGAGATTGCTAATACTCTGCTATGTTGGTCCTCACATCATGATATATATGATCTACTGGAGAATATACTAAGCCCCAAACGGTGGCATATTGCTCATATGTATTTCTGAAATTTCTTCAGGTGAAGCACTGACTTGTCCAGAAGCATGAAAACCCCCCAAATCCAAAGAAAGCAGGCAGAGAGACTTCTAAACTGGTATCAATGAGGGCGTTTGGAGATCATCTAGATATCTCTGAAAGTGTATATCCTGCTCAGTGTGTCATTTTGCTCCTTAGTTTGTACAAAGGGTAGAACATGGTTTTCAACAATGATGATACTCCATTTGCTACTATTTATGCTTCCACCTTCAAACCACCAAAATGGAGTTTCGCTAGCTTTGCTGACACATTCAACTGGATACCTGTAAACACTTGCATGAACACTAGAGTTGTCAAGCAGAAAACTGTACTGTCCCAGTCTGACTTCTGAACCTCAAATTCTGCCAGACATTCCTAATCATGGAAGTGGAAGGAAAGTCCTGCTAAAGTTACATTAGCTGACAGTGCCGGCCTTGACTTATGATCCAGCCAATCTCTTTATGTGAAGGAGATAATTCTAACTTGCTGCTAGGTTTCTCTTGTGAAAGTGCTGTGGTCCGATCGGTAAAGTCAGCCATGTCAGACCCCATCATCAACTATCCTTATCACAACATCAAGTGGGACAATGCAGAAATACCCAAAAAACTATTTACAGACCACTGCCATATAGCTGGAATATTGCTGAGTGTGGCATTAAAAAAACAACCAACCAACCATCTTCGCTAATCCCTGTTAGATCTATATAAGTCTCTTTTGTGCTGTAGTATTTCACTCTTGCTTGACAACGGTATAAGAATCTATACCAACACATCACATCATTCTATAATAAAGAAGTTGTCATCCATTAAGTATCCAACCTTGCATATGGAACTAATTGAGTGAGCACAACATTTGTCCCCTATGTCCAGATACATGTCCAATTTATCATGAACGTTCCATAAACATGAATGCTTGCCTTCATGAGATTTCATTTTTTCAAAACTTGCGTTTCTTTTGCTGTTCAGTATATATGTATATACACATGTTGTGTAGTTTGAGTACAGTGACCATGCTATTCACCCAAATGGTTGATCTGTCTGACAAGACAATACTTCTCCCTTCACTTGAACTCGTCTAATCCAACATGGCTGCTGGCACTTTTCTTGGCGGAAGAACTACAGGTGTAACACCACCCAATAGTTCAATGCGATGTTCTCCAGGCAAACAACCCAGTCCATTGAATAGTTCTGGAAATCCCCCAGGATATCTGTTGTTGTCTTGACTTGGTAACACTGATCCCTTAACTGCATGCATTCATTGCACCAAGTTAATTTCTTTACATGGTTTCTGAAATTGCAACGACACCTTGTAACAAGTACCATTGTGTATACACACTAACACTGATAATTGAGGCATTTAACCACATTATGAATTTGATACTGAGATTGTGAAAACAATTCGTCTGCTAGTCTGCTAGTTTAAACCTATCTTTTTCTGTTTGTTTCAGAATTCCAACCTAATATTTGTTTCAAATATTTTCTGCATCTGGGCATTCACCTTCCCTGTGATTAGAGCCAAATACCCCATAATATGGATGTTGTCTCTTCATAGAAAGACCTTCCTTAGGCTGCCAATATTGCTGAAACTTATCATCACCTTCCTTTGCCCATTTGAACAAACTGAATACCTGCTTTGATGATTTTCACATCGGTAATGGTGACAAAGTTTGAATGAATTGATAATTATATTCTGCAATAACGGAGCTTATAATTTCACCTGAACATTGCTCATCAATCAAATCTTGTGTAGATGTGACAGTCAATGGGTGACTGACAGTTTAAATTAGACAATTAATATAATGCCTTCATACATCACTTACATAAAAAATCCACAGAAAAATCTTTCAATGTATTTAATTATGGTAACAATACCAAACATTTGCAAGTTTGATTTCATCTTCAAGTGACTGATGCAAAAAAGAAGAAAACAGATGTCAATGTATATTTTATAAATATTTTTCTCTCCTTCTAATCCAAGCTTTACAAATGACATACAACACAAGAAGTAGATTGGAATTACAAACTTTATTTACATACTTTACACAACATATATATTTGGGGTGGGGGATTCTCTTGCTGGATATATAGCATGTACTTAGAGTGTGAGATGCACATACATAGAGGGAACCCTGTCAAGCCCAACAAGGCATTGAGCCTGTTTAAGGATTGCTCAACAGCGTTCTTGTAATATAAGTGGAGTACATGTAATTAGAATGTTACATGATTATAGTTACTAGATGGAACCCTGTCAAGCACAACAAGGTAATTGTTGTTCCTGTGGGAGGACTGCTCGACGGGGTTAGAAGTGTAGAAACCAGTAAGCAAGTAGGGGGTAGCTTGCCTCCCTATTGCTCCCACTAGCAGGGATGCCTGGCTTGGATACCTTAGCAAGAGGTATGTAATACTAACAGATTTTTGGGAAAAGATAATCCGCCTGAATGAGCGGAAAATTTCCATATGACATGATGAAGCTATGAAGAATGAGAATCCCTCAAAATCTTGAAGTGACTGACGCAAATAAAAGAAAACAGATGTCAATGTATATTTTAAAAATATTTTTCTTTAACTCTAATCCAAGCATAATTTCTGAAATAAATTGATTAATGGAGCATCAAATGAATGACAACAAATAAACAGGTGTAGGTTTATACCAGGAAGCATCGATGTCAACAAGAGAGTAGTCGTTGCATTGTGTACAATTTAGTTTCCTGAAGAAACAAGGATTGTTGCTGTTTTGTGGACAGACGAAATTTCATTGTTGCAAAAATACATATAGCTATTTGGTGCATACTAAATCATTTACTTAAATGCATTGCATGAGGTGAGGTGAGGTTAAATTGGGTTTAACGTCGTGCTTGAGAATATTTCGCTCATATGACGATGCATGCGTGTGTATGTGTATGTGCGGCTGCTTGTACTAGCCCAGACTGAAGCTGGTTTTATAGTGCTAGCCCACTGAGATACCATACCGCAGTGAAGCATGAATACCCCACTCAGACACATTATACTGACTCTGAGCCGACCAGTCCTTCTTGTACCCATTAATGCCGAGCGCCAGGCAGGGACCAACAAGTACCATATTTAAACGTCTTTTGGTATGACATGGTCGGGGGATCGAACCCGCGACCTTCCGCTCTCGCATTGCATGATATGAAAGGTGTTTTCTGTGTCTCCAGTGTGGTTGAGATGTCATTAAATATAACCGGAGAGCATGAACTAAGCAAAGAAGTTGATCTTGTGCCAAGCCATTAACAAAATCTTTGTCCCAGCATTCCATCTTGCCCAATCTGTTACTGTGAAGATCTTGTGAGCATGCAGGATAAGAGTGCTATGTTGACTATAAAAGTATTTACACAGGAATAGGTTTGGGGAACTGCAACCACCATTGTCATCTTGGTGGTACAAGAAAGATCATTCAGTCTGCTTCATCATCTGGACTAGCTCTGACGGAGTGAAAAAGAGGCAAGGCAAGCCTGAGATAAAGCAGGTGATGTTCTGGGGCTCGAAATGTGAGTGGGATGCCGATTGATGCCATACGCTAATGAAGAGTGTGGTTGGATCTGATCAGTTACCAACTACGTATACATGATCTTGAGGAAGCAAATGTTCTGGACAGCAGAGTATTCAACACCATCTGTGTGTAACCAAGTGGGGATGTCAGTGTCAGCTAATGGTCAGTCAGTTGGGACTTGCTACTGTCATCGGGTTCCTCATTTAAAGTACATCAAACAGTAACTTACCATTGATGCACATGTTTGTTGAGACGTTCTCTTAAAGGAGCCACATCTGAAAAAAATCCAATGAAACATACTTTCACTGAAGATAACTTAAAATTGGAGCATTATCAATAATGATAATCATTTTTAGAATACTACCTCTAACACTTGATTGCCACTTTCCTGAAAATCATTTCTGAATCCATAGCTTTAACTGGAATAATAAGTCCATATTGTTGTGCTGTCTTTCTTCCAAGTAGTCCTCGAAGAGTTATCTGGAGGAGTTATCATCCTTAACAGCTAAAATTAAGAGCAGGAAACCTCATAATTTTGTCCATGGTACCTTAAAGAATGTACTCTGGGGTATCTGGGGCCTTTACATGAAGTGTTAGTGGTAGTATTGTAAACATTATGAACATTGCTGATCAAGTTTTAAAATTCTTACAAATACATCCATCTAACACTTGATTGCTGGATGCCATAAAGACTTGGAGTAGCCCCAAACCATGTTAGAAATCTAAATCAGACAAAAAGACCTGCGTTTGGTTGTTGTTGGTAACACTTGGTAATGTTTATTGCTGCAAACAGATCTATATCGGGTTGTTTCCATTTGATTGTTACCCTGTGGCAAGGCATCTGGATGAAGCTCCTATTCCACAGATAGGATCTTATACAGATGAAACAACGTTGTGTGGTTTTTGCTCTTTCTTTGGTTGAATCTGGCCATAATGTTGCAATTCAGACTGTCAGATCATAAAGTTCTCTTACAAACTCCATGAGTGGGTTCCCCGAGCCTGTTGATGTTAGTAACTACCGTGGAATTTTGTATGGCTACGTATGGAGGCATTCCTTAAGTGTAGCGCCCAGGGCTGAATAGCTAAGAGAACTACCCTCATCTCCACAATGTTGATGCCATCTTGTCTTTGAGATGAACACCCCATCCTGTGAGTAATGCATCTGTCAAGGGTTGGTGAACTGGGTGAGCCATCCTGATTGGGTCCCATGGTTGGGAATATTCCACCATACGAGATCCCTGAACAGGAGATCTGTAGACAGAGTCAGTGTCCCCCGATGTTGGTTGATCCAATCTTGAATGGATGGGTGACCGTGTTTGGCAGCTTGACTCCTGAGAGTTTCTAGGACTTGAGTCCTGCCCCACAACTAGGCACATGCGACACATGTGGTCTCACCTTAAGCAAGTGAGTTTGTTCAAAATTGTCTCTGTTCACCCAGCAGGAAAATGGGTACCCGGTGGAAAAAAAATCATGTGACTATAACCTTCTAGCGCCTAACAGGCAGCTTGGGTTATCCGGGGTAATAATGTGCTGTGCCTTGATTGTTAGCGCTATGAGCATACCTAGTGTGGAGTTTGGCGCTATATAAATGGACACATTATTATTGAATGTATCTTAGATCTTAGGATCCTGCATAGAAGTGAGAGCTCCTAGCAGTGACATCCATTGATGTAGTGCCTGAGGACATGGCTGAAACGGTTCCGGGTCATTTCAGCCCAAGTAGTTTCACCCAGGTCGTTTCACCCGGGTTGTTTCATCCCATTTCCAAACTGGGTAAATTCATCCCATATTAGGGGTTGTTTCGCCCCTAATCAAGAGTTGTTTCACCCAACTAATTGAGTATACGTGGAGAATGGTATTAATTCTTAAATCTGTTAATCAGATCAGTGCAACTGTGACTGACTTACTGAGTATGGTTTTATGTCGTTTTTAGCAATATTCCAGCAATATCGATTATCACGGCTGGGGACACCAGAAATAGGCTTCACAAATTGTACCCATGTGGGGAAGCAAACCTGGGCCTTCAGCGTGAAGAGCGAACACTTTAACCACTAGGCTACCCCACCGCCCCAGTGCTACTGTGTCTGTGTTGAGGTGGCACATAGGACTTATATCTCATCTCATCATGCTTAAAACCTACATGAACATTTAAACAAGTCAACATTGAGTTAGACATTACACTTGCATTTCTGCCATGGCGACTGCATGTTTGGAGATCTGCCTCAGCTCAAGAGTGTAAGACCGCATCAAGATAGACTGCAGTGTGAAACTTGCCATCACCATCAACAGAGAATATGTTGCACAGGTAATACTTAGTCATAACTTAGCCGTTTCTCGCAGACCACATTGTCCCAGCCTTCACGTCTCTGAAGACTCGTGCCAACACAGAACAATTACGAGAGTTTGTGACGTACCTGGAGACAACTTGGATGACATCAGACCTGTACAGACCAGAGTCCTTCTCTGTGTCCAACATGCTGTCAAGACCAGTAATGACATAGAAGGAAGACACAGGCGACTGAGCAAGAAGTGTCGTGATGCTGGATTTTTATGTCCTTGTGCCACTCTTGAGAAGGTGAAGCTGATCAAGTGAAAACCCAAGTGTGCCTGGTTCAGAATGGTCATCAAGAGACAATAGGTAGAAATTCAAGAAGATCCAGGAGAAACTTCTTAACCTCTGGACGCAGAACACAGGCCATACTCTTTCATCTACATCCCTGATTCTCACTTCCTTGATGAATAAATGTGAACTGCAAATCCTAATCCTAATCCTAATTGCAAAACCTTGAAATCTTTTATGAAATGAAGGTGATTTGACTGGTAAATCTGTTATCAGTCGCATAAAAATCCTTTCCCTGAAAAGATGAATGGCCAACATGGTCTGAATACTTGAGTGAAGACAATCAAGCATTGAAGTCCTTTATGATCTTAGGCTGGAAGGATGACTGAGGTAACTGGTGCTTAGCTCTGGCATTGAAAAGAGGAGCCTCTGGCTGCTAAATTTCTAGGGCAAAGCCCTGTTGATCAGGTAGAGTTGGCATTGCTTCTGGAAACAGGACATCTAGTGCAGCAAGCTTGTCTGCAAATATGTATCTGGCTCAACTGTGATCTGTTGATCCCTTTCTTAATCCACAGATGTAAAATCCGGATCCTGTGAAGCATCCTACAAAATGCTCTGTTTAACAGTGAGAAAAGGTGAAAGTGGGTTTTACGTCGTGCTTGAGAATATTTCGCTCATATGACGAGTTTAACAGTGAGAAGAACATATAGTTAGTAGTCCTATCTTGGAATGTAGGGATTATATCTCGGCCTTTGAAGTCCACACTGCCCAAGCGTCTCTCCTGCTCATATGCTGACTGCGTTATGTTATGAAAACAGTCCCTGTGTCCCAAGCTGCCTGTGTGGTCTGTTCAACCAGTACTAAAACATCTTTCCGCATGTTATCTCCAATCCTGTTTTCTCTGCTTTAACCTCCTACAGAGTTGTCTGTGTGCACTGTGCAGTCCATGACTTCTACTTGAACTATCGCAGTGCTATCAATACATGTGCAGTCTATGAGATCAAAGTTGTGCCTTGCGTCTCAGGGTATACCTCAGCTGAGGTGACCGTAGCAGTCGGTGTGGTCTGATGCCAAGCTCCCATGTTTGAATGTCTATGATCATCCCCAGGCACCTTGAATGGAGTCCTGGAATGCAGTTTCTTCATCATCTTTTTTTTCTTGACCTGTTTTAATGACCACAGCATAGTTCTCAAAAGCTGATGTAGCAGCTGACAAGCCTCACAATGGGCGACAAAAGTGCAAGGAGTATCAACACACTCCCAGCAATCTCCATGTGGATGCTGAGGGGACATTAATTTCCTGCAGGCTGAGCAATCTTTTTGTACCCGAGACAAAAGTCTTCCAAAAACAAACACATGTGTGCATATGTGCCAAAGGACAAATTATGAGGCTTCCCTTGTGCCTTCCATTAGTAGTGATCACTCCTGCAGATAGTACTGGAGGACCAGTTGGAAGAAAGACACAAAACCATGGACCTAAACCTGTGGATTCAGACACAAGTTTCAGGGAAAAAGGCAATCTATTGTTAGAGGGAAATATTCGAAAAAATTCTGCAAATTGAGTACTCTGTGTATTCATATTGTCACACTTCACAAAATGTTAACTTTAAATTGTATATTTATAAACTTATCCCATCTCATGGTATGCACTTCTCTCCCTTGCTTCGAAACTGAGTGGAACGATGTAAACTTTTCTCCCAAGGCCTCACTTGTCCATTCGCCCAAGCACTCCATGTTATCCTCCTTATAAGACAGCTTCCTAGTTGTTAAGAAAAGCATGCAGCACGCCCCACTATCTACCCACATGACCACCTTTGAATCATCTTTCTTGTTCTTGGAGCCACAAAATAATCTGCGTAGCAGGAAGGTTGGGCGGGAATCTATTGCGTGAGATAGGATAAGTATATAAATATATAATTTATAGTTAAAATTTACAATTTTTTTAACTTATCCTATTTCACAGTATGCACTTATTCCACGGTCGGAAGGCAGGACGCAGATGCCCTAGGTCTTGACAGTGCGAACAGCAGGAACTGTGTAAATAGCGATGCACAAGGGAGGCCTGTTACGACTAGCGCAAAACTCCTATGCTTGTGATGAGTTCTCCTTAACTCCTTGGCTTACTAAGCACAACGTCTCCCAAGAGATGTGGTTTTTGACCGCAACCTCAGAAGAACGGAAGGACACAACTTGGCAAGTTAAGCCTCGCCTCGCCACGATTTACAAGGTACACCCGTTAATTAAAGTCTTTCGACAATAATTAGGCCAGCTCCTGCTTCGAGAAGACCCCCGCAGACTCCGACCAGCGGCAGTTGAAAGAGAAGCACAATTCGGAAAGCTTACAGTTTTAACGTTCAGTTCCAGTCAACATCAAATTGACCCTCACTCCTTTACATAAGCTTGGTCAGAGGATGAGCCTTGCAACTTCGGAGCCGGAATGCAACGAAAACCACTGGAATTCGGGAGTGACACATTTCAAGGACGTAATTGCTTCAAAAAGGAGAGGTCAGTAAGCATGAAATGTCAAACCCTTCCACATCGTGATACAGAACCGTGCTCCAGAACCATCCAACCATCCGGGTGGCATTATCTCCATGTCTTAGCATAAGACTAAGTGAAGCAGTTCTAACCCATAAGCAATAAGAACAAAAGGCAGACATCAACTTCTGACTTGTATTCAGGAAAATGCACGGAAGCAGCAATCATGTGGTACCAT